TTTACCTAGGTTGTTCACTTAAGGTAATAATATTCTCATCTGTAAATTCTTGCCTTTCGTGCTCCCTCAAGCCATTTCCATTTAATTTCTTCCAGGTCTGAGTTTTCTTATCTGACCCAGAATACGTTAATGTCCTTTCCTTTGGGCTTGTGATTGACTTTTTGTTTATAACATCTATTTAGCAATTCATAATATTTGATATCTACTTGCGATTAAATTTTTAAAGTGTATCTACCTAAATAAGTAAGTACTCATATATATAGTACTTAATAGTGTTTTTGATTGGCTCCTGAGAAATTTGTAGGCTGGTTTACGTTTTGGCACTCTCTGTGATGCCTATTTATACACATATATTTCCTCAGGAAGTAAACATAGTATGTACATCAGACATTAAACGGGAAAGGACATTTTATATCATGCCTTCTTTCCCACTGCCCAATTATACACTAAAAAAATTCAGACTTAATTTACCTATTTTCCTCTCATATCCAAAATGTATTCCAGTGATCTCTTAGTAAAAACAAATAAGAAAAGTTTAATCTCTTTTTGGAAGTCTGGAGTCATGCAGACCTGCTATAGAACTCCTGTCATTTGCAAGCTTTGCAATTGTTACTTAATCTCTCTGATTTCTGTTTCCTTCTGTTAAGTGGAAACAAAAATTGATTTCTTTGTTATATTTTAATGAGATAATTGTGAAAAGCATCTAAATAAGTGTGATCATCATGAATTATTAATTACCATAAAATAATAATAAAACTAAACCAAAAATTGTAGTTACCCAAGTTAAAATTAGGCCCCTCTGGTCTCTCCAGGAACAGCTATGTGATTTTGATATAGTCTGGGTGATTTATAGCAAAGGATCTATTTGACCTATTTTTCAACTTGATTAGGAATTTTCTCTCATTTACAAAAACAGTGCTTTTCACTACGTGTGGAAATTCAATATGTTTCCTAATTTCAACTGATCACTTAGCCTCCAAATGTGTATGGGTAATCCTGATTTCAGTACCCCTCCCTCCTGCTCTACCCCTTTCAAAGATTACCTCTCAATAGGATAGTCAGCAAAAATCCTTGTTTGTATAATGTCCAGTTCTAAGTCAATTCTGTGCTTTACCTTTCCCTGCTGTACTTTGATCTGACCTAGGCAAAAAAAGATGGATTAGCGCTGGATACTTCTCAGAATTCCTTTCCTCTCATGTTGCTGTTACCACATTTGGATCTTAAAGAAATGAATGTGGGAAAGCCTCAGTTCTATTTTATCATTGCTAATTCTAACTGAACATTTTCCAAGTCTATATGGCTATTACAGGTTTTACTGAGGGAGTTGATCTGGTAGAGATTACTATGTAGGAGACATGAAAATAAATATTTAACCAAATGTTGAAATATCATGGTACTCATGAGCCATGGAAAGAGAATAAAAGGGTTAAATTTATTTCAGATTTCGTGGATGTACCTCAGATTCTTCTGCTTTCAGGGGTATCTCTTCTGCTTTGTTTTTCAAAACTCTGCATGGAGATCTCCATGCCCCTGTAGCAAATCCCACCCCCTCACATGACTATCTTGCCATGGGATACATTCCTTGCTCCTGTTGTGGGACGTGGACATCTCCCAACAGACTGTGAGGCTGGGCTTTAGCCCACTAAATCTGGTCCCTTGGAGGATTCTATCTATTGAGGTATCCATATCCTTTTCCATCTTTTTTTTGGTGTCCAATGGATTACTTACACATACACAAATGGCAAAACTAAAATCCAGGTTTCAAATACAAACATTTTCTTTACTGTGGTTGGAATCCTGCAGAACTACCCTTCAACAAATGAGGGAAAATGCTTCTTTTTGTCATTATGCTGAACACATTTAAAGTTTCTTTGTCTTTCCGACTGTATTTAGACTTCTCCTCAGTCTTTAAAATGCATAAAAATCAAGAGTCATTGCAGCATTGAACACTGTAGAACTCCTGGAAGGACAGCATCTCTTAGTGATAAAACCTCCACAGTAACTTTAAGTATTTATGGATTTTTTTTCTTTAGTTATATGTCAGGTCACATCTTGGGTTACTGTTAATGAAGGAAGACTATACAAAGAATTATTAAATTTCATCCAAGCAATCTGCAAGAACTGGGAAGGATATTTTAAAGGGAAATAATCAACTTAAAATTTTACCAAATATAGCTTGTAAAGATATTAAGGAAAAAGATTAGTACTCATATGAATATGTCCCAATAATCAAGAAAAGAGTCATTGTGATACAATGCCAGTTATTGCAGGAAATTAAAGAATTCTGTTCTAGACACATAAAAAAATACATTAATTTCACAGTTAATATATAAAAACCATCATCAACATTTTGGTGACCATTTGGGGCTACCAACCTATCTATAATTTTTCTATTTACTTATCTGAACAAACTTTTGATCAAGTCATACATGTTGTTTTATGATATATTTAATCCACATATATAATTGTGATTTTTATGTATTATTACACGTTTTTGAGGACTTGATCTTTAATGACTAGTATTCCATAATAAGTATATGCTATGTTTCAATCCATCTAATCAATCATCTATTTTTATACAATTAGAAAATTTTCAGAGACAGTTTTACCCTATAAAAGTACATTTTCAGTTTACTTCTAAGAAGTAAACAGACTGGTCATCCTTTGGGTTATTTCTTGTGAAATAAAAGTATTGTGATCTGAGAGTTAAAAAAATTTTTTTGTTAGTAACAAGGCTCCCATGTGATTAAAAAATCTGAGTTCATAGCTAAATTCATAGATGTATAACAAACATTTGAAAGCAAACTATAGTTCTTAGGAAAATATATTATTAAGAGAACAACTTTAACTCATGGCAAGTTGTTTCTACTACTAATTTACTCCTTTGATATACTGAAGAAAATATAATCATGAACGATCTTAAGAAAATGGACATGTATGTATATAGTGAGGCACCTTTAAATATAAATAGATTGAGAAAAATGTTGCTTTGATTTCAGGAATAGTAGAACTTCATATTTAATGTCTCTGTGTGATCCATTTTCTCTTAAGTACCATATTGGCATTTCCAGCAGATGGCATTATTACACTAAGAAACCAAACACCACAGCTCAGGCATTCTTTAAGTAAATGTAGATTTTAGAAAGGAAGGGAAGAGGGAAAGGAAATATGTATTGAAATCTATTCGTTGCTTGTTCTTTTATATGTGTGGTTATATTTAATGCTCACAGTGGCTCTTATAGGTAGGTGTTAAGAATAAGTAAACTGAGGCTGAAAGAATTTAAGATACTTAATATTCACAAAGCAAGTCAGTGACAGACCCAGGATTTTAATCCAAATCTGGCTGATTCAAAGAGCCTGTGTAGCTGCTGTGTTTAAATTAATGGCACTACCGTGAAAATATTTGTTTATAGAGACCATTTCTAATGAATGAACTATGACAGTTTGACTGTACTTCCAAATGGGTAAACAGAATTATCATAATTAGATCCAGAAATTTCATTGGTGCATACATAAATATTAATTACTGAATTACTATACATGCTTGCTTCAATTCTACTCTTATATATTTATAAAACCAAGAAAAAGAAAAACATGCCAATATGAAACCCTGTACACTGATGTTCATAGCAGCATTATTCATAATACTTCAAAGTATAAACTCAAATATCTATCAACTGATGAGTAGAAACCTAAAATGTAACATATCAACACAGTGGAATATTATTCAGCAATATGAAGAAATAAAATACTGACATATTCTGTAGCTTGGATAAAACTTGAAAACATGATGTGAAAGAAGCCAGTAAGAAAACATATATAATTCCATTGATATTGTAATGCTAAGAAAACTCAACTCTGTACATCCAGAAAGATTAGTGAACGCCTAGGCTTACCAAGTAGGACAAGGGAATGAGAGTAACTATTAATGGGTGCAGAATTTCTTTTTAGGGTAATGAAGATATTTTAAAATTAGATTTCATTTATGATTTATAATTCCGTAAATATACTAAAACCCATGGAAGTGTACACTTTAAAAGGGTGAATTTTATGGTATATGAATTATATCTCAATAAAACTGCATATAAAAATGTATAAAACAAATGCAAACTGAGATAAAATGACCTTACCCTTTGGGGTACATATGAAAAATATATATCTACCTATGTTAGTTACCTTCTTTGGGTCAACAACTTTGACAACACCATCTCATTTAAGACATTTAAGACATTATCCTTGTCATTTTGTAGATAAGGAAATGTTATGTGAAAGATTACCTCACATAGAGTTTCACATCTAGCAAGTGCTAGATCCCAGGTCTCTGTTTTGTGAAGCTTATATACCTTCCATCCTTCACTTTGTGGTTCAGCGAAAATATGCTTTATTATAATCAAGTGCTAACTTGTTATACTTCGTGTCTGTTTTTGCACTAGACAGGGTAATATGGAGTTACTAACTATCCCAATTGTAGCTTTGATTATTGGCAAAAACAAGTTGAGAAAAATGTCAATTTTCTCTTCTCACAGCACTTCTTTAATTGGTGATTTCAAAGCTGGCCAATCTGTGACATTCTTATTTGGTATACTAAATGGAGTTTGGTACTGTATGGACAAATGCTTCTTATCTGTAGGCTAAAATTTGAATCCAGAATAAGGAAGATGATTATTTGGTGGTGGTGGGGGGTGGATTTTCATTGGTATAAGGATAGGAGATTTTTCTTAAATTTGAGTCAATAATGTAGGTCTTCACTGCCACAATCTTAGTTTTCAAGTATATATGTTTGTTTTGGAGTTGGTGTTGTTATGTTAAAGTTGACTTGTCTTTGAGAAAATTATATGTTTATCTGTGTGGAGTTTGTTGATCTTTTACAATAATAAAAGGATAGACTATGGAATTAAGAGGCAAATTATCTTAATACATTGATGATGAATTTTTTTTTTTTTTTTGTATAGAACATTTTAGGAACAAAGTACTTATTCTTCCTGGATCTCATTTTCCAGAATGAAGCACTGCATTAGCAAGTCCTGAAGATCCTTTCCAGCTCTTTGATTATTTGACATTCTGACTGGCACAAAGAGGCACACCTGCAATCCTACTGAGCGTTCCATGGATCATTAATGATTTTTCATAGTGAAGGAAGCAGAGGTAATGTAGACTCTGAAAGCTGATACTTCTCACTGTAGATGTACACTCTTGTGTTACAGTATTTTTGTATGTGAGAATTTCCACCTACCAACCCTTGAAGGTCTCTGAGCACAAGGGATTGACTGAGTGCACTTTAAGTTAAAATACCTCGTGCAAACCCAGCATGGTGTACCTGCAGTGAGGAGACTGTTATGGATGCTCATTTCATATCTTTTACAGCTTATGCTCTGCATATGCTGTTTAAGCCTTGTCTCTCTTTTTCCTTAAATTTTGAAATGCTTTTTATTGTGTAGAAAAGTTAAATTTCTTTAAAATGTTAATTAAAAGTAAAAATGTTTTGAGAGTAAAATGTGGCTTATATGTATTTTTTTCTATTTAAAATACATAATGCATCTAATTTTTTTTTTAATTCTGTGAGCTTGGAGAGTCTAATGTAAGAAGACTCATTGCCAGCATATTCCAGTCTACTTCAGTGCTCTGACTTCAGCCACCTCTCAATAACTAGTTTAGATAACTTTTTGAGCATTTGTACTATGCTGTTTAATATAAGAACAAGCAGTAGTGAATACATCATTTTCCTTCAACTTTTATTTTACGTTCTGGGGTACATGTACAGGATGTGCAGATTTGTTATATAGGTAAACGTGTGCTATGGTGATTTACTGCACAGATCATCCCATCACCCAGGTATTAAGCCCAGCATCCATTTTATTCTTCCCGATAGTCTCCCTCCCACCCCACAGGTGTCCAGTGTATGTTTTTTCCCCCTACGTGTTCATGTGTTCTCATCAGTCAGCTCCCACTTATAAGTGAGAACATGTGGTGTTGGTTGTCTGTTCCTGCATTTATTTGCTGAGGATAGCAGCTTCCAGCTCCATCAATGTCCATGCAAAGGACATAATCTCATTCCTTTTGATGACTGCATAGTATTTCATGGTGTATATGTACCACATTTTCTTTATCCAGTCTATCATTGACGGGCATTTGGGTTGATTCCATGACTTTGCTATTGTAAATAGTACTGCAGTAAACATACATGTGCATGCATCTTTTTAACAGAATGATTTATATTCCTTTGGATATATACTCAGCAATAGGATTGCTGGGTCAAATGGTATTTCTGTCTCCAGGTCTTTGAGGAATTATCACACTGTCTTCCACAATAGTTGAACTAATTTACATTTTCACCAACAGTGTAAAAGCATTCCTTTTTCTCTGCATTCTCACCAGCATCTGTTTCTTGACTTTCTAATAATTGCCATTCTGACTGGCATGAGATGGTATCTCATTGTAGTTTCGATTTGCATTTGTCTAATGATCAGTGATGTTGAGCTTTATAAAATATGTTTGTTGGCTGCATGTATGTTGTATTTTGAGAAGTGTCTGTTCATGTCCTTTGCCTACTATTTTAATGGGGTTGTTTGTTTTTTTCTTGTAAGTTTGTTTAAGTTTCTCATAGATTCTGGATTTTAGACCTTTTGTCAGATGGATAGATTGAAAAAATTTTCTCCCATTCTGTAGGCTGACTGTTCACTCTGGTGATTATTTCCTTGCTGTGCAGAAGGTCTTTAGTTTAATTAGATCCCATTTGTCAATTTTCACTTTTGTTGCAATTGCTTTTGGCATTTTCATCATGAAATCTTTGCCCATACCTGTGTCCTGAATGATATTGCCTAGATTTTCTTCTAGAGTTTTTATAGTTTTGGGCTTTACATTTAAGTCTTTAATCGATCTTGAGTTAATTTTTATAAATGGTGTTTAAGGAAGGGTTCCAGTTGTAATTCTTGCTAATTCTTCCAGAACCATTTATTAATGGAATCCTGTCCCCATTGCTTATATTTGTCAGATTTGTCAAAGATCAGGTAGCTATAGATATGTGGTCTTATTTCTGGGTTCTCTATTCTGTTCCGTTAGTCTATGTGTCTGTTCTTATACTAGTACCATGCTGTTTTGGCTACTGTAGCCTTGTTGTATAGTTTGAAGTTGGGTAGCATGATGCCTCCAGCTTTGTTCTTTTTGCTTAGGATTACCTTGGTTATTCAGCCTTTTTTCTTTTGGTTCCATGTGTATTTTAAAGTATTTTTTTTTTAATTCTGTGAAGAACGTCAGTGGTAGTTTAATGGAATAGCATTGAATCTATAAATTACTTTGGGCAGTATGGCCATGTTCACAACATTGATTCTGCCTATTCATGAGCGTGGAATGTTTCTCCATTTGTTTGTATCCTCTTTGATTTCTCTGAGCAGTGGTTTGTAGTTCTCCTTGAAGAGGTCATTCACCTCTCTTGTTAGTTGTATTCCTAGATATTTTATTCTTCTTTTAGCAATTGTGAATGGGAGTTCATTTATGATTTGTCTCTCTGATGGCCTGTTGTTGGTGTATAGGAATGCTAGTGATTTCTACACAATGATTTTATATTCTGAGACTTTGCTGATGTTGCTTATCAGCTTAAAAAACTTTTAGTCTGAGACGATGGGGTTTTCTAGATATAGGTTCATGTCATCTGCAAAGATAATTTGACTTCCATTCTTCTTATTTGAATACCCGTTATTTCTTTCTCTTGCCCAATTACCCTGACCAGGACTTCTAATATTATGTTGAATAAGAGCAGTGAGACAGAGCATCCTTGTTTTGTGCCAGTTTCCAGGGGAATACTTCCAGCTTTGCCCTTTCAATATGATATTGGCTGTGGGTTTGTCATATATGGCTCTTATTATTTTGAGGTATGTTCCTTCAATACCTAGTTTATTGAGAGTTTTTAATATGAAGGAATGTTGAATTTTAACAAAGACCTTTTTTTGCATCTATTGAGATGATCAAGTATTTTTTGTCTTTAGTTCTGTTTGTGTGGTGGATCATATTTATTGATTTGTGTATGTTGAAACAGTCTTGCATCTTGGGGATGAAACCAACTTGATCATGGCGTAAGCTATTTGATGTGCTGCTAGATTCAGTTTGCCAGTATTTTACTGAGCATTTTTGCATTGATATTCATCAAGGATATTGGCCTGAAGTTTTCTTTTTTTGTTGTTGTATCTCTGCAAAGTTTTGGTATCAGGATGATTCTGGCCTTATAGAATAAGTTAGGGAGGAGTCCTCCCTCTTCAATTTTTTGGAATAGTTTCAGTAGAAGTGGTATAAAGTCTTCTTTGTACCCCCGTAGAATTTGGCTGTGAATCCATCGGTCCTGGGCTTTTTTATTGGCAGTAGGCTCTTTATTACTGCCTCAATTTCAGAACACATTATTGGTCTATTCAGGGCTTCAGTTTCTTCCTGGTTCAGTCTTGAGAGGGTGTATTTGTCCAGGAGTTTTTTTTTCTAGTTTATGTTAATAGAGGTGTTTATTGTATTCTCTGATGGTTGTTTATATTTCTGTGGGGTCAGTAGTAATATCCCTCTTATCATTTCTGATTGTGTTTGATTCTTCTCTCTTTTCTTCTTTGTTAGTCTAGCTAGTGGTCTATCTATTTGATTCATGTTTTCAAAAAACCAGCTCCTGGATTCATTGATTTTTTGAAGGGTTTTCCATGTCTCTATTTCCTTCAGCTCGGCTCTGAATTTGGTTATTTTTGGTCTTCTGCTAGCTTTGAGGTTTGTTTGCTCTTGGTTCTCTAGTTCTTTTTGTTGAGGTGTTAGGTTGTTGAGATCTTTCTAGCTTTTTCATGTGGGCATTTAGTGATATAAATTTCCATCTTTACAGTGCTTTAGCTGCATCCCAGAGATTCTGGTATGTTGTTCTCTTTTTACTCATTAGTTTCAAAGAACTTCTTTCTTAATTTCATTATTTATCCAGGAGTCATTCAGGAGCAGGTTGTTCAATTTCTGTGTAGTTTTGTGGTTTTGAGTTTAAACTTGAGTTCTAATTTGATTGTGCTGTGGTCTGAGAGACTGCTATAATTTCAGTTCTTTTGCATATTATGAGGAGTGTTTTACTTCCCATTATGTGATCAATTTCAGAGTAAGTGTCATGTGGTAATAAGAAGAATGTGTATTTTGTTGTTTTTGGGTGAAGAGTTCGGTAGATATCTCTCAGGTCCACTTGATCCAGAGCCGAGTTCACGTCCTGAATATGTTTGTTAATTTTCTGTCTCGATTACCTGTCTAATACTGTCCGTAGGGTGTTAACATCTCCCACTATTACTGTGTGGGAGTCTAAATCTCTTTGTAAGTCTCTAAGAACTTGCTTTATGAATCTGGGTGCTCCTGTATTGTGTGCATATGTGTTTAGGACAGTTAGCTCTTCTTGATGAACTGAACCCTTTACCATTGAGCTTTGTCACTTACTACAAGATTCATGGCAAATCCAGGACACTTTAAATTCTTTTTTTAGTTTATGGGCCATGTTTTTTTTAAAAGATATTTTTTCTAAGTTCATTAGTGGCTCTAAATTAATGTTTCCTCTCATTAATTAAAAGAACCATAAACCAATAGCAATGAACAAAAGAGACAACATTTTGAACCTTAGAACTCCTTAGAATACAAAAACCATTTTTCTTCCTATAATCACATCTTACAAGTTTTTATTATTTTTCTAGTATAAAAATAATATATACTTTATGGTTAAATATGTTGGAAAATACAAAATGTACATAGAGAAGAAGATAAATAGTTCTTGTTAATACTTTTGCATTTTCCATTGTAACTATCATACTTTTGTATTACGTACATCTAGCAGATATTTGTGAAGAATTTTAGTTGAAAAACTAATGTGAGATAATTCTGGGGGAGTTGCATCAAAATGGTTTTATATTCTCAGAGAAAAATACTTAGAATTGATAGAATATGTGATCATTAGAATTGATAGAATGTATGATCATGCCTGGTTCATCTGTGCTCTGGGTGTTGTTTAGTTCAGGCTTCTGGGTTGCTTCCTTGGGAAAATTAGATGCAACTGATGGGTTATGTCTTGCAAGATAGGCAAATACCTTGTCCTTTTTCTATGGGAAACAGACAATATTACTTAAAAATGAACAAAGAATAAATATAGGAAAGAATGTCTG